ATAAAAGCCTAATCAGCTCCCCCACCCCAATTAGAGGCAGGGCCCACCAGCCAATCTCCCGTAGCCCCTTCCCCAAGCTGACCCGGCCCTGATCAGGCCCCGATTGGGGTGGGCCAGCCAACCAACCTCCCACTGTCTCCTCCTCCCAACAGGCCCGGCCCCAATCCTCCCCAATTGGGGCCGGGCTGGCCAGACCCCACCCGTGCATGAATTCGTGCACTGGGCCTCCCCGGATTGGAGAGGGTGCAGGCTGGGTTGAGGGGACCTCCCCCACCCCCCGTGCATGAATTTTGTCCATCAGGCCTTTAGTATATATATAAAAGCCTAAGCAACTGTTATGACCGAACAACTGGAACGACCAGTCACTATAATGCGCACTGACCACCAGGGGGCAGACGCTCAATGCAGGAGCTTACCCCTGATGGTCAGTGCACTCCCACAGCTAACCTCCCATGGTCCCTCTTTCCAGCTGGCCCCCCGATTGGCCCCGATTGCTGGCCAGGCTGAGGGACCCCACTGTGCATAAATTTGTGCACCGGGCCTCTAATATATATATGTGTATGTGTGTGTGTGTGTGTGTGTGTGTGTGTGTGTGTGTTTTCACAATGTGCTACACTTGTCCAGCTAGTTGAAGAACAATGGCTGATGAAAGCCAAGAGCAAAAGAAAATGGCAATAAAATAAGGTGGCATGTTGACAGCTGAGATCTGAGTGACATCTGAGGGTGGTTCTGTGGCTCCAGGATTAGATTGTTCTCACTTCAAAGGAGCCATCCCTGAACTCTGTCAATCAGCAATGCAGTCATACACACATGCAACTCTCTCCCCCATTCACTCCTCAAAAAGAAAAAATCCTTAAAGATGATGTGAAGAAAACAATGTATAGATCATATACGTTTTCGTGAAAGGCAGCATTTTTCTCCCTAACTTACAAACTGAGCTTGAATTTTTATCCAACCTTTACCGTGCCTCACTTTCACACAAAGAATTCCATTTATTGTTCTCCTCGGACTTCAAATAAAAAAGTAACATCAAAGTCTAACAGAAAATGAAAGCTCCGGTCAGACATTATTTTGTTTTCCTCTCCCAAGTAAATATTTGCACTTGCTGGAGGGGCTTATGCTGATGTGTCTGCAAATTGAACATGTATTTTTTATGAGAAGATAAGTAACCAGGAACAAAAGACACAAACCAAAGTTCCCCTGTGCTCTCTGCCAAGTGACCTTTGTCCACTGTGTAGATGACCTGTTCAGAGGAAGATGATTTAGTCTCCGTGGAAGCTCGGTTTGGGGGCCCTGCTTTGGCAGATTGACAGATGTGCTAAATGATGTTGGAACTACATGTAATAGATTTGAGATTATGACTTATTGTCCATCGAGGACTGAAGAGCCCCATGTAGTGAGAGAAGGTCTATTTTGGTTATCTTCTTAAACTTCATTCCAGAGTAAAAAGACATGGACTCTTCTTATCAGAAGCTGGCCTTTTTGTTTGCTGGGGGAGGTGGTAAGTACCAAACTCATTTCACTAATTAGAAGCCATAAGCCCAGAATAACCACTGCCACTTTTTTCTAGATTGAAACAGCCATGCCCAATAATTGCTGGACACAACTCTACCCCAATTTAAAGCTAAGAATAAATAAAATGTTCAGGGTTTTGTGTGGGGTTTTTTTAATGTCATAATAGCACATTAGAGTAGAATTAGCCTGAAAGGAATTTAGAGTTTGACTCTACAAGACTAGTGGGCTCTGTCCTCCTCCAGATACTCATTTACTGATATGCTTGATGTTTTGTTTTTTTTTGTTTTGTTTGTGTAAAAGAGGAGAGTGAGGGTAGTGTGCAGATGTCCAAGAGAGAGGAAAGCAATGAAAAGGATGCAGGTGCCAACCCCCAAGGAAACGGAACAGATGAACAAAAACAAACGTGGACCTGAGCACAGCTGATGTGGCCCCAAGGGTTTCCAAAAAGACTGGGGAAGCCTCTGAAGAGTAACTGAATGCTCATATGGGAAAGTAGAGTATAATATTTGGGAACTGTATATTTTCAAATATTACCATTTTTGTTCCCAAAGACTGAAAGCTAGGGAACACGGATTACACTAAATTCCTGGCTTTAAAAAGCATTTCCTTTGTCATAGTACACTACGACAAAAGTCACAGCCTACCTTTTTCCTTTTAATTTTCTTTGTATTACTTTTAGAGAGAGAGGAAGGGAGAGGAATAGAAAGAAACATCAATGAGAAAGAAAGTTATTCGATTGGCTGCCTCCTCCATGCCCCCTACTGGGGATCGAGCCCACAGCCTGGGCATGTACCCTGACCAGGAATAGAACCTGTTGGTTCCTGGGCCAACACTCAACCACAGAGCCACACTGCCCGGGCCTGCCATTTTCATTTTAGAGCAAAGTTGGTGTGTTTGCTCAATGGTTAATATCCCTGATCAAATGGCTTGATGCTCTTTGCAGAAAACAGCAGTTATGAGACCATTGGTTAGAGAAGTAGAAAGGGAACGGGAGGAGAAAATAAGTGAGATAGATATTTTACACTTCATGAAAATACATAATAGCATTTCATGTTTATCTCCCCCAGAATACTATCCCCAAAATGCAGCATCGATCTTGGAGACAAGCTCCATTTCTGAACTGAACAGACCAATTTAGGCAAGTATACATAATGGTTCCAAAAAGACGTTTCAGAAACTGTGGTCTAAAGTTTATTCAGAGCTAAGGGAGACTGCCCGTAATGCAGTCCCATCACATCCACCAGTTGTCTGGGGTTCAGACCAGCAGCCTCAGCCTCAGCTGGGAATCTATTAAAAACACAGTCACAACC